ACTGAGTTCCAAATTGATAATGTCTTTTCAACTTTGAGATGTTTTGTCATAAAATGTAGTGCCCTTCCTGCTCCCCAGAGGATGATTCCTGATGACCTTGCCGAAGTCCAATACTTTAACATAAATCTCTAAAGTAGATAAGTATTTACTCATAAATGACAGTATACTCAGTAATAGTGTGGCGCAGTGGGTTGTGCGTTGATGTTGGGATCAGGGGGTCACAGGTTCAAACCCCACTGCAGTCAGCATGTCGTTGTGTCCCTGGGCAAGACACTTCACCCCAAATTGCTCCTGTGGGGATTGCCCACAGTATTGAGTATGTAAGTTGCTTTGGATAAAAGCGTCTAACAAGTAACATGTAATGTAATGTCATGTAATAGTGGCCATGTTGAGTTGTCAGAAAATGTAAACACTTGGAAAAAAATGGGAATCTTTTACATTGCTACTGTCCATCCCTGACAACAGAGTCTGACAAAAAAAAAAGTCTGACAATGTAAAGCTGCGCCTGACAAGCCAAGTCTGACATGTCCTAAAATGGCCAGCAATTGTATACAGCATAACTTTTGTTTTAATTTGTTGGAGCAAAGTTGTCTCTTGACTTTCATTCTTCATTATGTTTTCCCTAAGTCCTTAATTTTCGTGTTATTCTTAAGAAGGTTAAAACTATTCAGCTTGAAGTGAATTGCATACCTTAATTGAAACAACCAGGCAAGTTTTCATGATACGATACATCCAATCAACAGATTCATCAAATTGTAATTAGGGTAAACGTGTTATTGTGAATTCTGGGACAGAAACAGTACAAACACACCAAAGAACAAACATGCTTCCTGCCATAATGTTCTCCATGCTGATGGAATCACTCAGCAGATGCTCTCAGTTTGGCAGAGAGGACTCTTTCCAAAGCAAATATGGTACCACATTTTTTATCATACTGACCTGCATATGAGTGCGTATTTACTAGCATAGCCGTGCCAAGATGTAAATACAGTCTTCTATACGTCACAGAAGTGGAACATTCTTCATTGAGTGCCATCTTGAAAACATTTTTCTGATCTAACCCAACAGTCTGGTCTCCCGGCTTGTGTTTGTAATACAAACAAGGCAGAGAAATGGTTTGTTTTGGGAAAAATGTTCTACTTGTTCTTAGGACATTTTCTAATGACGTGACCCTTTTTTAGTGATGACCGAATTGTAAAAACCTGGTGCACTTAATTAGATGCCAAATAACATAAAAAGAAACACATGTTGATGGAGACAGAGAATAAAAAAGACAATATAAGATAGCTGATTATTATCCAGAAACCAAAAATAATGGGAGTGGGGGCAAACTAGATATAATTTTAATTTCACATTTAAAATAAATTGCTGTTGCAAAAACAGAATATCCTTTTCACATAAAAGCAAGCAAAGTATAAATTAGAAACACATACTGTTTTAATCTTAAACAAAGTTGGGTATTTCCGATTCCTATGTAGTTCACTGTATGATCTGTTGTATGTGTCAATATTAAAACATGTTTTGGCATCTCTTTTGTTTACTGATCACACACAACTCATGTTTGGTGTGATTCCTTTAAGCAGTGAACACAAATATAAATACAAACAAACAAAAGGAAAGCGATTTAAAGCAGAAATCAGCAACACATTACGTTTATTGTCCTAGTTTCTAAAGGAAGCATTAAGGTGCTTTCATTTAAAGAATAAAACAATGGCACATCAAACCATTAAAAAGTAAATGCTTTTCATTTCACAAACTTTAAGCATGAAATATCTGTTCATTCTTGCAGACCATGACAGAGCACTTCCTATATATATTTAGGTAATTTACAGCTGTTGATCCAAAGAAGATGTTTGCGCTCGGCTCTGTCTCGTCCTGTCTGCTCAGACTCCGGCTAACACACTGCCATTACACTTAAAGTGCACTTAAAGCAGTGATGTTGCCTTTCAAACCTCTTGGCATCCCATCTGCAATGAAGGAAAAAAACATAGGCACTTCAACAAGATTACGTATTTTCAGTCTCCCTCAGACATCCTGATGCTTTGACGGCTCGTACAATTTGTTCCATGTGCTACATGTTCTTTTTAACACACGATTGCCCTTTTATGCACTCATGTCATCTGTCAGGTTGTTAGCCAACACACCATGCACGTCACAGAGTAACATGACCTCCTCTACACTGATTTCCTGCAGATTTTGTTATTTAAGTGATTGATTAATTAACCATTGTGTAATTCAGTTCCAAAGCTTAAGAAAAAACGTGAAAAGCCTTATTGTCCTTGCAGCAGGCTTTCATTTTGAGGCAAAAGTCTACAGTCAGTGATACTCCTCACTTTTCATTTTGAAGAAATTGGGTATATAATCAAGCATAATATATACTTCATGCTTTAGGACACTAAGCATCTGTCATGTTTTCCGAATCAGACAGTGAAAGTAATTAGGAGGGAAATATCCTCATACATGTGGTTCATTACAGTGATGCTTTGACACACTCTCTAAACTGCTCTGCCTAAAAACGAGATTGCTGGAGAAAGAAGGCGGGAAGTGGACGCATGAAGCGGATCAATCTGTCACCCCAAAAGATGACAAATATGTTTTTCTCCTCTCTGTCTACTGTATCTCCAAACTGTCCAACACTCCTTTAGCAGAAATGCAGTGACGCAAATGCTTCCAGAGTTGCGTCGCCACACGTGAAAACAGGCAGTAATTCTGCAGTAGAAGTGGTTACTCGAAGTATGACAGCTTTACAGGCAAAAGACAAACAATGACTAACTTGTGTGTTTGTGTGAGAGATGAGAGGAGAGGTGAGGAGAGCTATGTGCCACCAGCTGGTGTTTATCCATCCTCTTCATTGGTTGGGAGACAGGAAGTACAGTAGATGTGTTTATAGAAGTGTGTCAGATGCAGCAGCACGTCAGGGGTTATCATTATGTTTTGCTTTACTTTGCCTCTTTTATGCATGATAGTTGAAATAATTGCTGATGATATTTTGTATTTTTTTATTGTCACCCAAAAGCCCAGATATCCTACATATCCTCATATTTAATATTCTTCTGTATTCCTTGTTAAAACACAAAAAAGAGACTCGTACCAACCAGGGAGATACTCAAAATGACCCAAAGAATAAAAAATGACTAAAATGAGATCAAATCAGCTACAAAGACACTCATAATTATGACAAAGAGACACACAAAAACGACAAAATGACCACAATAAGGGGGAAAACAACTACAAAAACATGCTTAACAACTAAAATGTATTTGTGTCTTGCCACTATGTACTGTAGGCAGGACATTTTGCATGTTTGTGTCCAGGGGCCCATTGTCAAATGCAGACTCCTTTTTGACTGATACTCAAAAACAAAAAACTTGCCGTACTGTTTGAAGAGATGAAACAACATATTTATTTCTTGTTTTTGAGGACTTACAGAACGTCCCTTGTTGGAACCAATGGGCCCGAGTCTAAGTGCCACAGACAGGGTGTAAGGAAGTCAGAAAGTGTTACGTTGTTAAATCCTTTTTGAGGGATTTGCTGGGAATAAGTAAAACCTGTGTCTGCCTCACACTTCATGATCTCTCCAGTTTGTGTACCTCTGGGATTCTCCTCACGACACAAGCATCACAGTCCAACACTTAAACCATAATACGTCTGGAGATAACGTCTCTCCCATCTCACAGATGTACTTAATCAGAGTCTATTCTCTGCAAGAAGCCGCTCACTCGCTCTCCGAGAAGTCATAATGCATCACTTGTCTCCGAGTGGATTAGGAGAGAATGCCTGTTAGCTGCAGGAGGGAGGTGTGCAGAGGGCTCTCCTCTCAGCAGGACGCTGGTGTTTGTGGCTGAGTTCACTCATGACATCGTGACATTACTGAAAGTACGTCACCAGCTCAGCTAGCATGCAGTAGACGCAGCATAAATAGTGTTCATGGGTCAGACGTCAGCTTATCTTAACAATAACACTCAAGATGGAGAGCCACTAAAGGCTACACATCACCGCCTACTGTCTCCTCACTTCCTGTGCTTAATCCTGACAATGTCTCTCTTACACAGAGGTGGGGGAAGTAGTCAAATTGTACTTAAGTAAAAGTAGAAGTACCAGAGTGTAGGAATACTGTGTTACAAGTAAAAGTCCTGCAATCAAAATGTTACTCAGGTAAAAGTAGAAAAATAATTACCATCAAAATATACTTAAAGTAACAAAAGTAAAAGTAGTCATTCTGCAGATAATATATAGGATATGTTTTGATTATAATTATTGATGCATTAGTGTTATCAAAGCTAGTAAAGTGCAGCTAGTTTGAATGACTTTGTATACTGCAGGGTAGCTTGTGAATTTACTCCAGGTGGAACTAAAGTCTGATTTAAGAGTTGATTATATTTCACATCATTCATCCACATCTGTAAAGTAACTATAAATGTAGTGGAGTAGGAGTACAAAGTAGCGGAAAAGGAAAATACTCAAATACCTCAAAATTGTACTTAAGAACAGTACTTGAGTGAATCTACTTAGTTACTTTACACCTCTGCTCTCATGGTATTTAACTGCTGCTTGTATCATCCACTCTGATATTGGCTGCAGGGATTTAGGGTCAAACCGCTGACCTTACGATTGAAAAACTCCCATGTACCCCGTGCACAACCAGCTGCTGTAAAACCCTTTAGGATCTGTATTTTTTCTCATTTTAAAGTGTTGTTTTTATTAGTATTTTCTTGGCTTTTTAATTTTGTGTGTTAAAATGTCCTTTTATAATGTGTTTCTTTTGCACTCTGTTTGAATGTTGTTTGGAAAGCACTTTGGATTTCCTTGTTGAAATGTGCATACACCTTTCTCTGTTTTACTATAGTTGACTGAGTTCAAATCAGGTTGTACTACAGTGTAAGTTGACCTAATGTACAAAAAGTCTAAATAAGATAACTCATTGGCAACTGATGGTATTTGGTTTTAGCAATTGCACTTTCTTAATAGTAATTAAATAAGAAATGGAAACAGAGAATGACTCAAAATACTTGAAAATATTTATTAAAGTACATAACAAACATTGTAACACATATGTATAAAGTAAAACAAAAATAAAGGTTATGATTTTCTTTGAAAGTCAAGTAGACTTTAGAAGTCAGAAAGAGCAGTCAAATATCACATCTACAACTCCATTTGGTTATGAACAAAATAAGAGAATAAATAAAGACATTTAGAAAGGCATTGTGTTTGCTCTGTGGAGAGCAGAGATTTCATTCAGCGTGGAAAAGCTGGAAAACAAGAGCTCTTGAAAAGCTTTGTAATGGTTCTCTGCTGCTTCCCATTGCTTACATTGCTTAGTCAAAGTATTTACAGTGTGGAAAGTCACAGTCTAACTGAACTCTCTATGGTGACCGGTCAAGTAGAAAAATCTGGATTGAAACAAAAATACCTATACATCTTTAAAATGGAAAAAAATCTCAACCAGCTTTTATCATTCAAGTTTTCCTCGTAGACGTCTACAGTAGAAAAGGAATACATTTGAAGAGTGTGTTGGACACAGCGTCACCTGCTACTTTCTCACTCATCATATCTATACAGCAGTTTAACCAGTCTGTGGCACAGGCTTTACAGATGTGCATACTGTATGTTGATATGTTAGTATATAATAAATGCAGGCAGCAGTAGCAGGCCAGGTTGGTTCAGTTCAGTTGGCCTCCTTTGAAGCGGCGTCAAGGTGAAAGGGAGGAACAGGGACCACCACATCTCAGTGGGGGGAGTCGGAGTCACTGGAGTCCAGGCTGGCATGTGTGGGAGTGGGGGTGTAGCTGTGAGGGGCGGACGGGGGGCAGTGGAGGGTCTGGGTGCTCCGCCTCAGGTTCTCTAGCGACTGCAGGAAGGAGCGGCGCGCCCTCTCCTCCTCCAGGGGGGAGGACCCCTCCTCCTCCACCTCTGCGATCTCAGCAAAGGTGACAGGTTGTGTTTTGAAGCGCGCCTCACGGGGCCTCCGGGAGCGGCTCTTGCCCCTCGCCGGGCCCTTGGGGACCGGCAGCTGCTGGGGGAATTCCGCCATGGCCGAGGCCATAAGGTGGGCCGGCAGGACGTGGAAGCCTGAGGCCTCCATGACCATCTGACGCACTGCAGCCATTGGTGGAGAAGAAGCCCAAAATTGATGTGCAATTAGTTGCAAAAAAGTGTGCAGGTCTCAAAATTGTCCTTCCTTGCTATTTCCTATTTCAAGTGTTGCTCAGGAGCAATCACAAAGCAAGAGTTTGTGCAAAAATCAATTCAAACAGAACTCCTTGAACCTCCAAGTCCACTGAAGATTACAAGTCTTGAAGTGCTCTTGATCTTCTAGATTTCACGCTTCGGTGTGATTCCTCCGCTGATGTCTCTTCTCTCTCTTGTTTGTTTGTGTGTGTGAATCTCAGTCTGCTGAGGTGAATGCCACCGACAGCTCCAGCTCTCTCTTTTATAGCGGCTCACAACCCACTCACTGTCTCTCTCTCTCTGCTCCCTCCCACTCCCCTCCCTCCCTCCCTCTCTGTCACTGCTCCGGCCTTCAGAGCAGTAAACCAGTCAGAGTCACTCCACCAAAATAAACACATGAGGAGAGAATATGTGTGTGTATGCCTGGGTGAGGAAGCGTTGATGAGCTTGTAGGGGTGACAGAGGTTTAGACACAGAAGGAGGGGAAGACGGTGGAGACAGAAATGGAGACGTGAAAAGCAGTGAGACAGATTCCGAATTAGAGCACGGAGAAAAGTGGACCAAAACAAAGTCAAGGTGGAAAGACTTAAATAACACGACACGTGTAAATCTGTAGGGGTACATCTCTGCTAGATATATAACTGCTTAAAGCTGAATGAGTTACAGAGGTGGGATACAATGTTGGTATCTGCAACTATATTGGAGGATTTTTTTGTCTGACGTATCTATTGCCAGATTCAGGAAATGTTTGCCTGAAGCTTAAGGGCCTGGGTGAGAACTAACCAGCCAAATTAAGGTTAATTAATTAAAGTGTCAATTAAAGAGCCTCAAAAGGTTAGGAAAAAATACTAGGACGCAGTTGCCAATCTATGGAGTGCTAAACATCCATTGTTTGGGATGAATTTACTGATTTTCTTTCCTCACAATTACTGACATACTCGAGCTGGATATTTTATATTTTCAAATCAAATTAAATGTTATTATAACCCAATATAACACAATCCAAATGGGTATCGGTGTCTGTAAAGTTCAACACAACATGACTGAGTGAAAAAATCGAGAGTTGCAACCATAGACTGTATATATAGTTTGCAAAATAGACAATTCAAATGACAAACATGATAAGACTAAGGACTAATTAGATATACTACAGCAAAAACAGTATTTTTTCTTCTGAAAAATGAATGCACAGTCAAATTAATGATATGGTTTAAAAGGGGCCATGTGTCTTTCACCTTAAAGGTCACCTATTATGCAAAATCCACTGTTTTCCATGTCTCTTCTACATCAACATGTGTCCCCTCTGTGTAAAGAGATTCTGAAAGTTTCAGGAACAAAGATTCTCTCTCTTTTTGTCCTGATCCATTTCTATAAAAACCTGTCTGAAAATGAGCTGATCAGATTTTGGCCACTTTATGATGTCATGACGATGTTTTGGCTTGTGTAACCATTAGCCAATCACCAACCAAGGTAACCCCCCCCCCCACCTTATCACCTGCATCTCCTCCTAGAGCACCATAGTGTTCTTTTTAACCAAATATCTCTCAGAGGGGATGCTGCAATGATCTGTTTGGTGTTTGGAGCCAATGTTTGTATATATCTGAGACCTATAACATATTGATGAAAAACAGTATAATAGGGGACCTTTAAATCACCCTAAAGTGAGCCAGGAGGGAAACGATACAGTGTTCATAATGTAAACATGATTGTAGAAGAGATAAACAACGTCAGGAGCTAATTACAGTCTCTGTGTTGATACTCATCGCTTACGTATGTGTGGAGTATTCGCAAAGATTGATTGATATAAACTGAAGGTTGAATAAAGAGTAGACAAGCCCACCTGCATCGGATGGCTTTGTAGGAAGAAACTGAAGCACGCTGAGGAAAGCCTGGACAAACTAAATCTGGATTTCTTTAGCAGCACAACTGAATATCAAGAGTTTCCTGGCATGACAGATGGTGTTGGACAACATTACCATGAGACATTTGGCATCCATCACATTCACAGATAACAACAAATTACCAAGAGAACATTGTTGTGGTGTTTCAGCGTACCAAATGAAGACTATGAATAAATTATGTCTGCTTGCACTTTCTTTAAAGGTGGGGTAGGTAAGAATGGAGAAACCAGCTCGAGTGCGCTAGAATGTGAAAGTACGCAGCCGAAAAAAATCTGCACCTTCCTTCAGACTTCCTTACAGAGGCCCTCCTCCAACACACACGAACGCGCACATGACCAATGAGGGCACGAGATAAGTTTGTGCACAGATGGAAGGCTGACAGGCAGGTAGGCCATCCAGTTATTTTAGCCGGGCCGGCTCAGATGATTGGTCGTGCTTTTTACAGCGCCACAGCTTCCACTGATGACATTTTTTTATGTATTTATTGTCAAAGCATTTAATGTATTCATTGCTATCGGGATGTTAAGAGCATTCCATGGAATATAACAAAAAGTGTTTCTGAAGTGAATTACCTACCCCACCTTTAATAGAATAGGTTATAATACTCTCTCACACTAACGTCCTAATGTCTGTGAAACTTTTGTCACAGTAGCCAAAGATAAATGAATATGCAATGCCATGGAGGGAGAGGCAACCGTTTTGGGGATTATAAAAGTGAACAACCCTTTTTCTTTCATGTGTTCTCAAGAAGCATCAAAACAAAAGTTATGTTGTGATATTCGTCCCCGTAACAATAATCATTTTCTACAAAAGTAAAATGTAAATGTAAAGTATCTTCGAAATAGCCATATTTACTTTTAAAGCAACATTTTAAGGGCTGTGTTGTGTCTCGTCAAATGTGTTAGTATGTTTATGTATTTTGTCTGTCATTTCCTGTTTTATTTTGTACTTACCTCTTGTCTTTCATTTCAGGCCCTGTTTCTTCCTCCCCTTGTATGGGAGGTGTGTGGTGCAGTGTACTAGTGCGTTGGTGTATGGATCAGGGGAGCACAGGTTCAAACCCCACTGCAGTCAGCATGTCGTTGTGTCCCTGAGACACTTCACCCCAAATTGCTCCTGTGGGGATTGCCCACAGTATTGAGTATGTAAGTCGCTTTGGATAAAAGCGTCTAACATGTAATGTAATGTGTATTTTTCCCGCCTTCATCAGTGTCTGCCCCGCCCCTGATTGTTTCCACCTGTTTCCACTCACCTCGTGTTTAAATAGTCCTGTCTCTCCCCTGTCCTGTGTCAGTTCGTCTTGTTTGTTTCTCCGAATGGTCGTGCCAAGCCTCAGCTCAGAAAGGATCGCTTTCACTCATGTCAGGTTTTGTTTCTTTTGTTAATTTTGTAGGCTTAAGTTTTTCTTAAGTTCTCTTTTTGTTATGCTTAGTTTTTTCCTCCTTGTGAGCGCCTTTTGTTATTTCCAGTACCTACTCTGTTAAGAGGGATTACCTGATCTGTGAAATTAAAATTAAAAATGTTTACATTCAAGACCTTGTCTCTGGGTCGTGCATTTGGGTTCATCAGTTTGTGTCCTGACGATCTTTCTCTAAAATGCATAAAGAATACATGCAAATTCATTTTTGTAAAGCACTTTGAATTGCCTTGTGTTGAAAGGTGCTATATAAATAAAGTTGCCTTGCCTAAAGAAATGTGTGAAAATGTATTTAGAAAATGTTTGCAGATGAGACGAATGTCCTGTAATGTCATGGACACAGGATGTCACAGTAAACAAGGGAACACAAATACTGGAAACTCATTAAGCCCCAGACTCACATAAGTCAACATGTCACGTCTTCTTAACCGTAACGACTACATGTATCAGTGTCCTCTCTGACGGGGGCACGTCAGGGTGGTGCAGATCTGTCGGGTTACAGTCACACTGCAGCGTTCAAAGGCACATTTCTATCAGAGTGACATCAATGTGATGAGGGTCACATTTTCTATATTCTCTTCGGAAGCATTGATCACTTCCTGAGCCATTCAACACACTCTTGACTAAGTAATTACTAATATTAAGTCATTTGAACGCTTAAAGAGGGCCTATTACGCTTTTTGTCCCTTTCCTGTAGTGTGTTATATACGTTTTTGTGCATGTAAATGGTCTGCGAAGGCTAAAAATCCCAAAGTTCAGTGATCATTTTCTCAGTAATCTCTCAGCAGACATCTCTTCTCGTCACATACAGTGAAGTCATAGACTGACGCACTTAGTTGGTGAAAGGATAATAAATTGTTGGTGCAATGCAAACAAGGCTGGACAAATAAACGAAGAAAAATATTTTCACTAACTTCAATGAAAGAGATCGTAAACATTACATGTTTCTCTACTAATGTGATAATTAGTGATCTCTGTGTAATTATTGAGCTGTTTTCTTAATTCCACCTATAGGTATCGATTCAGGATGTTGAAAGTGACACTGTGTGTAATGATGTCAAAAGATATAGCATAACTGAACCCTCCAGAGCAGTAAAATGCTGTCTGATAGCTTTATAAACCTTTCATCATTACTTTCGTGTCCGATAGGCTTCAAATTCATGGAACTATTACTTCATCGCCCCTACCAATGAACGTAGGGCTTTTTATGGTCTTAATACTCCTATATACTTTATGTATCCTAAAACAAACCTGTAGTGTGAACGTTGTCCTTGACACACAAGCAAAAGTTAGCTCTGAAAACAGATTCCATATAGAAAATAGTAATAATTAAAATGATTAGTTACAGTAGGATGTAATTATCTGTGTATCAGCTCATAAACATTATTAGACATTATGGTTTTCTTTATGTATCTTTATAAAAGAAACGTATGAAATGCACATACATGATAGCAGGGGGATGTATAAGTAAGTGACACACACCTACAGATCATATCATAATCCATAATTGCAGTTAGTGTCACAGTTGGCAAGGCAACATGTACACAAACACCAGAAACTCAGGAGGGCAAACCCCAGTGTCATCCACAGTCAGTAATATTACATACAAAGTTACTAATATTACATTCGCAGTTACTAAAATTAACTTGTAGTATCGTCAAAAGTGGCATGTTCACCATGCAACGTACGATCAGTCTCACTGCGGTGACAATTTTATTGCGTTTCAATGGTTGACTTCATGATCTTTTCTTTGCCACATTTGAGCTTTCAGGAGTGACCGCATGGTCTATTTCAGATTTCGTCATACATTCCTGGATGCCACCTCAAGATGGCGAGACGGGGATCAGGTCACCCTGTGTCTTGTCTTACACACACACAAGCTCGCACACACACACACACACAC